AGGGGCGGGCGCGCGCTGCCGCAGCTTCTGTCTCCAGCTCCCGGGGACACCTGCCCTCGCCCTGCTCCCGTCCTGGTCCAGCCTCGCCCCACGGGCTCGGCGGGGTGATGGAGGGAGTCCCGCCGCTACCCGGGGGCGGGGACGAGGGAGCCGAGCCAATCCGGGCCGGGAGTCTCCAGGCGCAGGAGCCCAGCCACGCCCACAGCTCCCCTCCCGCGGCCGCCCCGGCCCTACCCACCCGCCCTACCCGCCTTTTCCAGAGATGAAGGCAAATTACCATTTCCTTTCAAATGGCTTCTCATTGAGGGAGTTGGAGGACACAGCCAAAAAGAAAAAATACATAAATAAATAAAAGGCCTGTCAGGAGAGGGAGGCATAATTAGCCAAAATGAATGCCAAGCTCCAATTATTTCTGTAACTCCAATAATGTCGCCCTTGGGGCAGAGCCAGAAACCTCCCTGCTTCCGGACCCTTCAGCTGAGACAGCAGGCTGAGCATCTGAATGCCCACAATGTGGGGCCCTCATACTTTGCCCCCAGAGGATGTCCCCTCCAGTAATACTGTCTTCTATTTATAACCCCTGTCCCAGCACAAAGCTGGGGGCGCATCCCCAGGGCTCAGCCACTCCTCCCTCCACACTCAACACGACAGTTTGCTGTTGGGTTCCGTCGGGGGCTTTGCGTGTCTGCTGGCTGGTGGGTGGTTGCTTAACATCTTGTCGTGATGTCTGCTGAGACTTGAACCTGCCCCCGGCAACTCCTGGCTGGGACCCAGGGACCAGGGCCTCCGGACACCCCCCCCAAGCAACAGGCACACAACCCAGCTCATTGGGTGGGGTTCCCCCTGCCTGCTCCAATCCCCCCACCCCATGCCAGTCATTCACTCACTCACCCAGTGACTGTGGAACCCCGGGTCTGTGCTGGGCACTGTTTCAAGTCCCAGAACACAGTGGTGATCAAGATAAGCCTTCCCTGCCCTTGGAAAGCTCACAGTCCAAAGGGGAAGACAGACAAACAGTAAACAAACAAGACCATGCAGGGAGCGGCCAATGCTGTGGAGAAAACAAAACAGAGGGAAGTGATAGATGAGTGATAGGGGCGGGGGACTGGGGGGAAGACCCCTTTCTGCCAAGCCCACAAGAGGAGAAGGAGCCAGCCATGGGGAGATCAGACCTCTGTAGACACGGTGTCTCCTAACTGCGCATGTGCTAGGCTTGGGGAGAGCAGGAAGGAGTGATCCAGGCCGGCTTCCTGGAAGAGGAAACTTCAGGCTGAGTTGTGGAGCGTCCACATGGGGGCAGCGCCTGGTGCCTAGTGGTTGCCAGTGACCAGTCAGGGTGCCCATAGGGACACCTAAGGCCAGGTATCTCCTCAAACCTGGAAAGTACCCCAAACCTCCAGCTCCTTTGCCCCTGTGGAGGTTTTCTGTTGCTGGAGCTCTGTGTTCCCTTCCAAAATGAGGACTAATAGTAGTTTTCACTGAGGCACGAGAAGTGAATGGAACAATGTATAAATGAGTCTGTCAAAGTGCTAGCCTGGGACAGCAGTTTCTCAAAAAATGACGCAAGAAAACCTGTGGGTTGTCAGCGGCTCATGGACTGAGTTCCCAGAAAGGCATTCCATCCAACTCACATGTCTTAAAAAGGGTGGAATTTCACCACCAAAATCTACGCCATCGGCCTGAGAGGTGACGGCAGATCGAGCTCCACATCCACCACTCACTGTGGGGCTCCAGCTGGCTGCCGGGCACCTCCCAGATGGACCAGAAGGGGCTGTCCTCTGGGTGGACACAGCCCTGCAGGTACACAGCTGTGAACAGAGCACAGGGCAGCCCGCTGAGTTATCGCCAACCTGCCCTTCTACCCAGAGTGAGCCCAGGAGCCCAGGGCTGGACAAGAGGGCCCAGAGCCCTGGGCAGCACCACCAGCCTGAGCCCCTCCCTGGGGGACCCCGATCACGGGGAAGGAAGAGGAGCAGGCGGGAAGGGCAGTGCTGCAGGTCGAGTCCCAGTCGGGACTTGCCCTACATGCACCCACACCCCACTACGAGAGACTGAGACCTTCTAACATGGGTTAACCTGACCTCCGACCTCGCCTGTCAGATGTTTAGTGAGCACTGATGACAGGCCTGCCCGGGATGTGGTGGTGGGAAGTTAGACCCAGCCCTATCCTCAGGGAGAACAGGCTCCAGTGGGAGACAGACAGGCCACCCATTGTCACACAAACAACAGCGCCAGGAGGAAGAACCAACAGCGCTATGAAAGCCTAGGGTAGGGGGCCGACCTGGACAGAGACGCTCCCTGAGGTGATGCTGAAGTTGAGGAGTGAGATCCAAAGGCTAAGTTGGGATCTCTAAGCCAGGAGGGGTGAGAAGAGCACGTGCAAAGGCCCTGAGATCAGAAGGACCCTGCAGTGCCATTTAAGCTGCGGAGGTGTGTGCAGGAGACCAGGGCGGGGCAGGACCCACCCAACCCTCCACCCCTGCTCAGATCTGGATTTATTCTCAGAGCCAGGAAGGCACTGCCAGGTTTGAAGCAGGCAGAGGGGGATGGAGCATGGATGTGCCCCAATTGGATTTGCCTTGGAAGCACTTCTGGACTCCTCTGGATTGCTGTCCAAGGAGGGACAGAACAGAAACTGCCACCAGGAGACACAGAGTTGCTCAGGGGGACCCTATCAGACCCGAAGCACAGGTGTCACAGGCCTTGAGCCACGCCGAGTCTAAGAAATGTTCAAGACAAGGGGGAGATGTTGACTCTAGAGTAAAACCACTGCAAACTCCAAATTAAAACAGGCCGGACTAATTACATGTCAGACATAATATTCCATCCCCTTGCTGCCTGAGACTCAGCTGCACTCTTGGTGTGGGGTGTGGTGCTCTCCGAGGCAGGACTGACCACAACCTAATGGCAAGGGTGGACAGGATGACTACTCCTACTTTACAGGTGAGACCATCGAGGCGCAGAGAGGTGAATGTGACCAGGTCTCATTCCCCGTGTTGACCCCAGAGCCCGGCACAGGCAAATGTGAGCGGCGGGAACAAAAGAGCAAAGGAACGGAGGCCCGCCGGCCCCTCTCCCTCACCGCGGCACGAGCTCGCTGCGGCCCAGGAGGGATGCTGCCAGGGCATCCAGGCTTGGAGCCCCAGCAGACACAGCCCCAGGGTGGCTGGGCTTTGGGGGTGAGGAGCGGGGCTCAAGATGGTGGGGCGGGGCCTCTGGGGAGGCGGGGCTCAGGAGGGGGTGGAGCCTCAGGCAGGGGGACCAGGTCCCGCAATCCCGAGGGATTCCCCAGCTCTGCCCACGGCGGCTCCCTCCCCTGATTCACAAACTGCTGCTGTGGCTGATGAGCAGGTGCCACTTGGAACTGGGGAAACCACAGTCTATTTCTGACTCTCCCCGCCGAGAAAGCAGAGTGTGGCAGCCAATTACAGCGCCGCGTGGGCGTGGGAGCAACACCAGGAAAAGAAACCAGGATAGAGAGGGCACCCCCCTTCCCGCCTGCGCACACAGGAGGCGGGGACGTGGGGGGACCAGGAGCACCCTGGACAGGCCCTGGGGACCTGAGCGGGAGGTAAAGGCATGGGACACCTGGAGCAGGTCAGGGCGGGGGCGGGGCACGCCTCGGCGTGAGTCATCGCGAGGGAACCCGGCTGTCAGCATTTAGGAACCAGGGGCTTCCCAGCCCTCTTGCCTCTCCCCTGAACAGTGCGATGAAGACTGAACTCCACACCTGACCCTGTGCCATGAACACAGGACACGACTGAGGACAGAGGAGAGCCAGCAGGTGATGCATGAAGAGGAACAGGTAGAGGGAGGTGGAGCCGACAGGCCACTGACAGCAGGGTGACAGGACACCTGGAGTGGGTTTTAGGAGAAAAAATGACGCGGTTGTACCATCCATATTCCTCAGGCTGCAAACGTCACCCCCAGGGCCAGTACCAAGGCCAGGACACAGACACCAAGTCTGTATTCAAGTCCCAGGCCCGCTACCTGCCAGCGGGGTGACGGGGCTAACGCCCTCCCCACCTGAGCCTCCCGTCCCCTTACCCTCACCTGCCCCAGCGAACCCAAGGGTGCTGAGCAGTTGGAGGACACTGAAAACCAGGAGGAGGCCAGTACAATCAAGGGGTCACCTGGTGTGCTGAGCCCAGGTCTCT